AAGAGTCTTCCCAAGGTTCCGGATCTCCCCAGTTACCCAGGGTTTTCCTGGGCAGCTCTCCGCTCTCGCAGAGGGCAGCTGTCCTCGAACGATTCAACCAGGGCAACTTGTGAACGTTTCCACTTTGGCATCTATATCCTCTTTATTTCGACATTGAAAAGTGTCCTGACCTAAACGGTTCTTTAGTAAGGTCCCGAACATTGTCCAATTAGTTTTAGACTTATTCCGAAACTTTATCGGCTTTGGTGGTGGCCTTAGTATTTGAATATTATGTACCGATGATCAGAAAAGGAGGTACTCGTCCGAAACTCTCCAATCCTGAATTTCGTTTATAAGCTCTTCTGAACATATAGTTATATCTAATACTTCTTCTCTGATTCTATTGACGAAGGTAGCTTTATTACCTAAGTTCAATGTTATCAAGTCTTTAGTATTAAGGAAATCCATGAGGGCTTGTCCCCTGCGATTGGTGTTTGTACTACCCCAAGCTACATGGTGCGAGTTGGCATCACAACCTATTACAATTTCTTATTTTTTTCATTGTGCCTCTTCAACCAGTTTCATCAGATCCGACGTTGGTGGTAGTGTCGGAGAATCGAAAGGCAGGTAAATAGATGCAAGGAATATGTTGCCACGACCTTGCCTCAGCACCGTTGCATCCGATGTTGATAATCCTGTGAGAGGAGAAAAACATAAGTTCTTGTGACATAAGATACATGTTTCTCGGCGAGATCCTGTATCAGCGTAGAAAAGTTGGAAATTTACGTGATTTAATCCAGAAACCTTGTTGCGAATCGTCCAAGGTTCCTGGATTAAAGCTATATGATTTTACCTGTGTTGATTTTAGCCATCAGAGCGTTGGTAGCTGTCTCGCTCCGATGGAGGTTTATTTGGATATAACCTCAATCATGGTCATCCATTAAACTGTCTTCCAGCGAGTTGGTGGTCACCTCCTCGCTCTTTGGATTTGACTCCTCCGGATAGCCTGAAGTGGCTATTAATGCAGTGGGTACTGTTGATGGCACTGCGGTGTCCTTATCAGGAATAGGAATAGCAGTATTTTAATAGACACATTCCCAATTCTGGAGAGCACTGTTCTGTCTTCTGACGGGCGAGTGATTTCCTCCTCGCTTTTAGGATTTGACTCCTCAACATGCTAGTACTTGCTAATGATGCTTTGAGTACTGTCTTAGGTGTTTTAGTGTCCTTGTCGGGGCCGGTTTTTGACAGCCTTTTCAATCGGCGCCTTCCCAATTTTGGAAAGGGCAACTACACTTCTTCTGGCGAGTTAATGGTAAATTCCTCGATTTTAGGATTTGACCTCCTCAACGTTATCAGTAGTGGATACTGATGCTGTGGTCTTAGGTTTTTTTAGTGTCCTTTTCGAGGCTTGTGGTAACAGCCCTTCCAATCGGCACCTTCCCAATTTTGAATATGACAGATTTAGAGGCGAAGTAAGCCCTACCTTTATTCTTGGCAAGGCTAGTCATGGATTTCTGGTCGATACCTATTACAAATAAAGTTCCCTCAGGTTCTTCTTTCCAGTAAAAGACATCCCATTGTTTGTCAAATAAATGAAGACGGTCACCAGAAATGGAAACAATATTTTTTTTAATTTTTCAGGACAACAAATTTCAAGAAAAATCCTTTTAAACATTTTTTCTTTCATGTCCCAGATAATTTTCCTACTAGTTTTAAAAAGGGTTGAGTCTATTAAAAGTTAATTCGTTTTTATTTATCAGGATACATTGTATATAAAAAGTTAAATATCTTATGTAACATCAAGCATCAAGTAGTTTTGAATCGACACGTCAAAATTCTTATAAATAATTTTTAATAAGTGGTAATTTTTAAAAAGTAATATGGAATGTCCTAATAAAAAACAAATTTTGTGTTGTTTGTGGTTTATTTGTACCTTTTAAAAAAGGAAAAAATGTAACAAAGGTTTTTGTGGATAAGTATGAACAATATTTTTTAATAAACATGGTTCCGAAGGCATGGTATATACCAGAAGTTGTGTGTAATTATTGTTACAAGGGGTTACTACGATCTAAGCAGTTCCCAATAAAATATGTGTACCCAGTAATTTGGTTGAAGCGGAGTGAGCATTCGCGCGATTTGTGTGACTTTTGCCGAAATCAGCCGAATACCATTAGGCTGAAAAATCAAGATAGGGAGAAAATCGTTTACCATAAATGTGCAGCCCGCGGTACTACGTTCAACATCAAATCCAAAGGCTCCATCGGAACAGGTTCGCACAATTCCATGTGATGATTTAGAATTACTGAGTATCGGCTCTAGATCAGAACTTTATTCGGAATTTTTACCAATAGGAAATATGCTAGCCGATCCATCGCCGCATTTTATAACCCGCATTTATTTCGTGACACAAATATTTCGCAAAGAAGTGCTGAAGTATTAGGTTCCCAATTACAACAGTGGAAATTGGTTTTCTGAAGATTTTCGGGTAACATCAGTCCGAAAACGTTCAAACGAGCAATCATTTGACGCATGTTTCAAAGTGGATGACCAATCTGGCATCACTTACGCAGATGATGTTGAAAAATTTTTCGAAACTATTGGCCATTCCTATGACCCAAATGAATGGAGTCTCTTTATAGATGGATCAACGAAGAGCCTCAAAGGTGTGTTGCTTCACGTAGGTAATGTGTATCCATCAGTGCCAATTATTTATGGTACAGATGTTAAAGAAAATTATGAAAATATAAGCGCTATTCTAAAATTATTAAATTATGACCGACATTGTTGGATGATTTGTTCTGACCTGAAAATATATTTTTATATTTCTTCTTTCTTTTATATCTTTATTTAGTATTTAGTATAGCTTAAATATTTTTTTTATTATATAAATTTAATTTTTTTATAATAATTGTTCCTGCTGGTACTAATTGGGAATTTGTTAGAATTATACTAAAATATGAAAGAATAAAATTTAAATAACTCTTTTGTTTCATTTCCAATGATTGTCTTTTTTTATTTGATAGATTCACATTATTTGTCGAGATTCACATACTCCATATAAGCGACAGAGTAGACGTATTCATTTTTCTCCATAATATATTTTTATATTTCTTCTTTCTTTTATATCTTTATTTAGTATTTATTATAGCTTAAATATTTTTTTTATTATATAAATTTAATTTTTTTTATAATAATTGTTCCTGCTGGTACTAATTGGGAATTTGTTAGAATTATACAAAAATATGAAAGAATAAAATTTAAATAACTCTTTTGTTTCATTTCCAATGATTGTCTTTTTTTATTTGATACACATATTGACAAACACTTATAAAAATATTTATTTAATTATTTATAAATTTGTACATCCTTGAAACTTTGAAGTCCTTTAAAAAGAAGAAAGGATCAGAAAATTAAAAACTGAGAACTATATACTATATTCGATCTCCAGTTTCATGTGTATGTGGACTTGTTCAAGTCCAAAAAGTACTATCTAATAGTTTTGTAATCTTAATTGCTGTATCGATAAAAGTATTTTTTTTAATAAACTTAATAATATGTTTTTTTTTCTGTTTAGGCTTAACTTATAAAGCTATAAGAACGAAATTTAAGCATGTGTTAAAGTATATGCATGGTTTCAACATATATTTTTTTTAGAAAAATATATAGGAAATTCTCAAGGATATAAAGGGATACATTTTGCAAAGGACATTTTTTACAACTTTTCGTTCTGAAAAGTAAAAATAAAAAAAATTATCTACTTCTAGAAATTGTCCCCTTTCATTTGATATCCATATAAAGAAAAACTAATGAGCAGAACTTTAAAAAGGAGAAAAGATCACAAAATTAAAAACTAAAAACGCAGTTCTACTATATATGACATAAGGTTTCATATGTATGTGGTCCCGTTCAAGTCCAATAATTGCTGTCCCACGGTGTTATAGTTCAAAAGGAACTTAAAGATTTTTTTGTATCACATTTTCTTTGGAAGAAAATAAGATTTTTATTGGCAAAGGAGTTTCCGGCGCCAACAAATAATAATAATAATAATAATAATAATAATAATAATAATAATAATAATAATAATAATAATAATAATAATAATAATAATAATAATAATAATAATAATAAAATAATAATAATAATAATAATTTTTATATTTTTACTTTATATTTTTGAAAATTTATATTTTTTAATTTTCACTTTATGCTATTGGTGGTATGCAGATCAGCTGTTTATTTTGTTGGTAAATCTACCACGCTATATACTACACCTTTTTTATGGTAGTTCTAGTACACCGATGTATATTTAAAATAAATACATTTTGTTGTTGCGTTGATGTAAAAAGTATTATTTATAATATACCTACCATACTTAACATGGATACAAGGGTACTTTACTAACAGGAATGGAAACCTCTTTTATATATGTATGTGTTTAAAGATATTTAATACACATACTAGTTTTTAATTTAATATACACAAAATATTGAATATATCTCAAAAATTCATAAATCAAACTAAAGCTATGTATACACGGTTGTTAGATCATACAACGTTTTCAGTAAAATGTGCGGAAATGTCTAACAACAGTGTCAGTAATGCTTTTTCTGACAACGTTGCAAAAGAAAAATTGTAGATTCACACGATTGTTAGACATTTTCTGCAGATTTTACTGACAATGTTGTAAGATCTGACAACCAAGAAAATAATGTTTATTTAAAATTCCTAATGAATGTTGATCCATAGACAACTTTTTCCAAAAACTTCTTCACTCAATACCACATTTGTTTTTTATTTATATTTTACACTTATTACTGTACTTTGTTTTTATTATAATTTTCTTATATATATAAAACAAAATTTGAAAATTAGATTTATAAACCGTTTATAAAATATTTTTTTATAAATAAGGCTTTTTCTGTTATTACACAATTTTTTTCGTTATTTTTCTGTTTTATATTTTAAACATATAAACATTAAAATTTCTGATTTTATTTTTAAAATTAAAACAATATTTACCTGTACTATTTTCGTCATTTCTTGAATATCAATTACCCCATTGCCGTCAACATCGTACATTCGAAACGCCCATTTCAATTTTTCTTCTGGTGTTCCACTTGACGTTACATCAATAGCAAGAAGAAATTCCTGCAATTAAACATTTGAATATACATATGTACATATAAAAATGCAATTGAAATGAAAAGTTGTAAAAATGGGAATAGTACATGTAAATTAGTCGCTCTAAGTGGCGTTTTACATTGAGACTTTTTTCAAGGGTGAGCATTAGGGTAATAACTTTTTGCAATTTTTGCAGTTATTAAAAATACCATAGCAAGGCCTTGTAGAGCGTGAACAGAGGATACTGAATATGATATTATTTTTTCGCTATCGTGAAAAAAGTTCCCGCACCAAACGGGATCAAGTTTTGTATAAATATAACTTTTTGAAAATGAGAAAAATAAGTATTTTTGGAAACTTTTTTGCTTTTTTACTACATCATCTTAAAGAGAAAATTGTTCTTTACAAACCCTGTTGTGGTATTTCTAATAAATCGCGATAATATTGCATATTTTAGATAATGTTATTCATTTATATGAAAATAATTTTAAAAAATTACGAACAAAATGTTGATAATGTTTGTTATTCTAAAAACAATTTTGTATAACTACATGAATATTTTTAGTTGAAAAATATTTTATATAACAATTTTTTCTTATCAAATATTTTTTCATTCGTTCAAAAAATTTTGTTAGACTTGTTTCTTATTGAAAATAATAAATTTTTAATAAATAATACTTAATCGTATTAATATCGTGAATATTAAAGATATCCCAATAGGTTATGGGCCCAGAGCGTTTGGGTTTACAAAATAAGTGTGTGAATAAAATATTTCAATTCAAGATTTAAAAGCAAATCATCAAGAAACAAGATCTGAATGCGAATCAAGAATCAATATTCAAATTAAAATGGCATCATCTGAGAAATATACAACCCTAGTGGTCCTATACAAAAGGTTAGTTTATATAAAAAACTTTTAAATTTAAACATGAAGGAAAGTAACAGTATGGTGGAATATTTGAATACATTCTCCGATGTTGTGGACAAATTAAATGAAGTTGGTATTCAATTACAAGATGAGTTGCTAGTTATAATCTTATTATCAAGTCTTCCAAAAGATTATGAGAATTTTGTGATGATTATAGAGACCAGAAATGCTCTACCATCGCTTTCGGTAATTAAACTTAAACTCTTAGAAGAGGCTGATCGTAGAAAACATCAAGAACTTGAATGATCAAGTAGTCAAGCTTTTGGTGCTATTAAGAAAGAAAAACTTAACAAAAGCAACAAAAACACATCAATTTCAAAAACAACTAAAGGTAATTGCTTCATTTGTTGAAAGAAAAGCCATTATGCTAACAAATGCAGAACAAAAAGTGATGAGAAATCGTATTCATTAATTGCAATGGCACAAAATAAATCTTTGGATACGTCAGCATGGTACATACATAGATAGCGGGGCTACAAGCCATATGTGTTGCAACCGTAAGTTATTTACAACTTTTGATGATAATAATGAGATTATTATGTTGGCTGACAAAAAGTCTATAATTGCAACGGGAAAGGGTGACGTTAAAATAAAAATGAATAACAGTGTTATTAAACTTAAAGATGTACTATATTATACATGCTAATATAGAAAACGAGTTATTTGTATTTAAAGCAGAAGTATTCCAAGAACAATTGAATGTAATGGCTCATAGTAATCAAACATGGCATAGAAGACTTGGTCACCTAAATTATCAAAGTTTAAAAGAATTATGCAATAAACAAATGGTAATTGGACTAGATTTGAATAAAGAAACTCAAGATCAGTGTAAAACGTGTATGATGGGAAAAATAAATCTGAAGAAGTCCTTGATTTAATTCATTCGGACGTGTGTGGTCCAATGAATATGGAATCTCTTGGCGGATCGAGATATTTTTTATCTTTCATAGATGACAAATCAAGACGAATCTGGACATATTTCTTAAACCAAAAAAGTAAAGTGTTTGATAAATTTAAAATTTTTAAAAGTATGGTTGAACGTCAAACAGGTCGTCAAATAAAGGCAATAAGAAGTGATAATGGTGGAGAGTATATCCGCAATAAATTTAATAAATATTTAGAAGAATGCATTCAACGTCAACCAACAGTTCCTTATACTCCTCAACAAAACGGAGTCGCGGAAAGGTATAACCGAACACTGGTAGAAATGGCACGATGTCTTTTGATTGATTCCGGACTTGACCATAAATTGTGGGCTGAAGCTATAGCTACAAAGTTTAGGCAACAAAACTCCTCATGAGGTCTTGACGGGTCGAAAACCTAATGTAAAACATCTGAAGATTTTTGTTTCAACTGCTGTTGCATTAAATATGAAACATAAAGGCAAGTTTGATGAAAACGGTTTATTGTTAATAATGGTTGGTTATTCTCTTGTGTCTAAGGCTTATAGATTATATGACAATGAAACAAATAAGGTGTATGAACGTCGTGACGTATTATTTGATGAAAACAGAATACCTGTAAAAGAAGAGAATTCGTCAAATAAGGAATTTATTTCGTTTACTGATCTCATAAAAACAAATGAAGTAGTACAACATGAAAGTCAAGCCGACGTAACAATTACGGATAAAAATGTACCAGAAATTATTCCAGAAGAGAGTGATGAAACAATTTCTGAAGATTTTTATGATATGGACGATTTTGCTGGATTTACATCACCAGTAGAAGATATTCCTGAAGAAACCGGTAATGCAACCCGTGGACCTGGCCGACCGAAAATTTTAAAAACAGGTAAACCTAGACGTCCAAGAAAAGCTGTTAATTTACTAAATAATGTGGTGGAGGATAAAGTTCCTAAAACATATAAAGAAGCATTATCTAGTAAAAATTGTGAGAAGTGGCAAGAATCAATGATAAAGGAAATAACATCTTTAAGATATAAGGGCACATGGTCACTAACTGAACTTCCATCTGGACACAAAGCTATAAAATGTAAGAGGGTTTATGCTTTAAAGAAAAATATAAAAGGAGAAGTTGAGAAATACAAAGCCCGACTTGTTGCTAAAGGTTGTAGCCAAAGGTCTGGCATTAACTACCGAGAAACGCTTTCTCCCGTAATTCGCTATGCAACGATACGTATGTTAATAGCTTTAGCGGTAGAGCATAAAATGCATTTACATCAACTGGACGTGGTAACAGCATATTTAAATGGTGATCTTCATGAAGAAATCTACATGCAACAACCTGAAGGATTTATAGATGAAACACATCCCAAAAAGATTCTACGTCTTCACAAATCACTCTATGGTCTAAAACAAGCTGGAAGAGAATGGAACAAGAAATTGAACGATATACTTTGTAAAATTGGATTTGAAAGGTGCAAGAACGAATCTTGTTTGTATAAAATGGTACGCAACAACAATTTAATTATAATAGCAGTTTATGTTGACGATAACATTATTGGATCCAAAAACAAAAATGAAATTTTAAAAATTAAAAATTACCACTAAATCCTGGTTTTCAAATAAGTTGCGGCAATGACTGTGTAAAAGTTGACACAACAACTTATCAATCTTTGATTGGAGCTTTGCTATATTTAGCATAAACAACAAGACCAGATATTATTCACTCTGTTTCAAAATTGGCGCAAAGAAATTCAGATACATATGTAGAGCATTGGATAGCTGCTAAGAGTATACTTCGGTATTTAAAAGGAACACAAAATATGAAACCACATTTTTCTTCTGCGAGCAAAAATCTTGAAGGCTATGCAGATGCTGATTGGGGAGGGTGTACTGTGGATAGGAAATCTTATTCCGGATTTGTTTTTTACCTTGGTAAAAGCGTTATTTCTTGGGAATCAAAAAAGCAATCCACAACAGCACTCAGCAGTACAGAAGCCGAATACATGTCAATATCTAATGCATCAAAAGAAGCTGTGTATTTAAGAAGATTGTTGCAAGAGCTTGGTTTTTGGAAAGATGAAAGCGTGGTGTTAAATGTTGACAATCAAGGTGCTATGAAGTTGGCTATAAATCCAGTATATCACAATAGAAGTAAACACATCGATATTAAATATCATCATATAAGAGATGTTGTTCAATCCAAAGAAGTGGAATTGAAGTATTGTCCAACTGAACATATGATTGCTGACAAATTCACAAAGAATTTACAAACATTTGAATTTTGTTAATGTGTTAAATTTGAAATAATTTAATTTGTAAAGAAATATCCATGTTGAGGAGGAGTGTTGATAATGTTTGTTATTCTAAAAACACTTTTTTATAACAACATGAATATTTTTAGTTTGCATTGAAAAATATTTTATATAATGATTTTTTCTTATCAAATATTTTTTCATTCGTTCAAAAAATTTTGTTATACTTGTTTCTTATTGAAAATAAATTTTTAATAAATAATACTTAATCGTATTAATATCGCGAACATTAAAGATATTCCAATACAAAAGCATTTTAGAAATTGCTTTCGGTGCGGGAAGTTTTTTCCCTAAATTGACTTCTAAAATAGCTTTTTATTATCAAGACAGTATTGGCTATAAGGTAGTGCTGTGGTATTTTGACGCTCAAAAAAAGTCATCCCTAGTGTGCTTGAACGAATCGTAATTTGAAGGATTTTTTCGAAATTGCTTTTACTTCACGTTCGTAATTTTGGTAGTTGATTTATATTCTCCTCTCACAGCGTAAAAATCGTGTGCGACACGAATAAGTGTTGCCATTTGCAATAATTATTTTTTTTATATCATATATGTATATATGATGATATGATATAAAAAAAAAAAAATATAATATATATATATATATATATATATATATATATATTATTTTTGAGATTAACTGTATATATATATATATATATATATATATATATATATATATATATATATATATATATATATATATCTTATATATATATATCTATATCTATATATATCTATATATATATATATATCTATCTATATATATATATATATATATATTATATTCTCCTCTCCATCACGTTGTACTTCCATATATATATATATATATATACAGTTAATCTCAAAATAAGTATACAGAATACTGACAATTGGTTTTATTTA